CCCCATAGTGGATTTAATGTTTAAATATTTGGATTTAGTATTTTGGGTTTAAGATTTAGTGTTTGGGTTAGAGTTTATTTATTGAGGGTTAGCGTTTAGGATTTGGGGTTTAGGGTTTAGGATTTTTCGTTTAAAGTTTGTTATTTTGGGTTTAGGGTTTATTATTTGGGGTTTAGGATTTAGTATTTGTGATTTAGAGTTTATTATTTGGGGTTTAAGGTTTATTATTTGGGGTTTAGAATTTAGTATTTGGGTTTAGAGTGTAGTATTTGAATAGAGAGAATTAGTGGTCTTCACAATTAATTGTTATTTTAATATTTTAATTTAATAATATTTTTTAACTAAATTGTGATTGACTAATGAGGTTGGGGTGAATATTCACCCTTAGAGATAAACCCAAATAAACCCAAGAATTGTTCTATCCAAAACCTCCAAGGGCCAATTTTTGAATTCGAAGATAAAATTCAAAAACCAATTAACACAAAATCATCTTATTAATCACCGGCTACCATGTTGTTGGGTCCGGTTAATGTTTTCATTACATTTTCACACTTATGAACAATATATATTAACATGTTCACGAACCATTTTAGGGGAAATCAAATGTTTAAATTTTGAGCTTGAAAAATCTCAAAACTTTGTAAAACTCAAACTCCACTAATCACCCACTTGTTAAGATAAATAAAAAGAGTGTAGTGTATTGAACGACGTTAATAAGCGAAGAACATAGATAGATGAATTAATAGTTAGGCCGAACTGAATTTGTTGTTTAAAGAGAAGATGTCACGTGTTAGAGTATAATCATCTAACACCATATTTACCCTCATGACAAAGAAAGAACTAGTCAGATATCCTATGTCATACAACATGCACATAATGATATTGTACCATACCATGCAACTATTGTGGAGACATGATGATAACGTACCATGCCATATATCTGTTGTGGGGCAAAGCGAACAGTACAATACAAAGTTGCCTATTTAGTAAAAGAAATGAGGCCAAAACAGATATCTCAAATTTAAACAACAAAAAAAAGTGAGAAAGATATTAACAAACAGAAGCAAAAGCTGTTACTGAATTTACATGCTTCGATGCAGACAAGTAAAACTCAAAAAACAGTCATATAACATTCATTTTCAGGGAGCTCTCAGATTTCCAGAACACACTACAAGAAAGATATTAGAAGGATCTCTCAAGGGTTTTGATTTTTCACCCTTAGGATCATGATTGGTCTGATGAAGTTTGGCCTAGCGAGACAGATGCAAGCGATGAAGCCCATGCCTGCGCGTTCTTTGCCCTTTCTCGGAAGTTCCTTGTTTTAACGAGTCTTAGTTTCAACCATAGCCTCCTCACATCGACCATGTGAAGAGCTCGGCTGAACATTTGGCTTATCTCTCCAAATCTTCCCAGGTTCAGATTCGGAACATAAGAAGCCCATAACGCTTTCATGCGTAATTCTGCTATGGGGAAGACGAGGATTGCCACTTGTAAACAGATAAACAGCAGAGATAGCACCAAGAATGGATCTCGTTTGAATATTTGACTGATAGATGTTCCATTGCGTAACCATGTGATCAGGTTACCATCGGTAGCGTCTAAGCTTGTTGTTGGTTCTGCTTCAGCCACATACTGGACAGGCTGGAGACCTAGAAATCCGAAAGAATCATCACTTAGTATCGAATTTCTAAAACTGAAAATGTGCTAGCCAAAGATTGGAAGTGAAACAGAGATAATTCAGTTAGATTGGAAGATAACACAAGCAAAAAAATGGTCTGGTTAATCACCTGTTGATTCCTCATAAAACTCAATCAGGGATGTAAGATCCTTTCGACCATGGTATCGCACCTTTAAAGTTTGATTTACCATCAGGATTGAAGGTAAGCTATGGATACCATACCTTGAAAAGACACTGTAACAAAGCAAATAATGAAATTAGTTGGTATGACAAAAGATAATAACCAGATGAATTAGCTAACCTATATTTGTTGATCAAATATATAAGTCAAATGACTTAATGAACTACAAGATAAAGTAACAGCAAACACATAGCATGTACAGCTTTTGTATATCAGAGTTAGAACAAACCAACTTATATGGATCAAGTTATGGAAAATCTGTTAAGAAATTTAAGATTTGTTATTCTCAAGTAAACTATCAGTACCCAAATTTCTTGATATGAGTAATTCAATTCAATTCCTTGCTATGAAAATGGAATATTTAACAGTTAGACTACATAGGCTAAAAAAACACATTACTAAATAGCTTCTTACGATGGAAGTGCTTGAGAATGCTCCACAGCTAGGTGCTGAATTTGAGGAAACATGGAACTCAACATATCAAACTTAGGGCGCATAGCACGTGAGAATGGGCACCATGAAGCATAAAAGAGTACCGACATATAAGCATTTCCATGGTTCAAAGCCATTAACCTGTCCAGTGAGTCTCCATCTAGCTGCATAGTGCAAATTTATACACTACTTTAGTCAAGAATAAAGCTTCAGATCCAACTTCATGCCTTTAGTAGAACCAAATACACATACTTAAATTTTGCTGTATCATCTTTGCAGACAGAGCTACTACACAATATGCATCATAAGAGTCTACACAATATGCATCTCTGCTCAATACTCATCAAAATCCCCCATTGTTCCTGATTCAATTTCTACGGCATAGCAATTTGAGAGTACTCTAATCCAACCATTCACTGTAATCATTCGCAATAAACCCTATGAAGATCTACCTCAGCGAAGCAAAGCCTCAAAATTCAATCACAATAAGAAAGGTGAAGTTGAATAAACCACAAAACGCGTAATGAAAACAAACCCTAGAATGAACTCACAAAAAGCCGAAATTTATGAAAACGTACCTCGATAGGAGGAGTTGGATAGAGAGAAGGAGGGCATTTCGCGTCTATATCGAACTGGAACAGCTCGAATTCGTAATTGCAAACGGAAAATGAAGCGAACCCAGACGGAAAGCTTGACACGGCAATCGCACAGAGGAAGAGAATCGGAACCCGGAAATCCATGGAACTCGAGGTAATGCAAGAGGGAGAAAAAACTAGGATCCTAATGAATTCTAAAGGCAAAAGGATAACGAAATAGCTAAGCCGTAATAGAGAAATTGAGGGGAAATCAAAATTCGAGGAAGAAAGCGAAATCAAACCGAGGAGGCGAAGAACAAAACCTAAAAATTGGGGGAATCTGCAGGATCCGAAAAAAACCACAAAATTTTCTTCCTTTTTTGTTTTTGGCAAAAACAACAGATCGAAAAACGCCAAAATCGATTTTTTTTTGTATTCGTCTTGTTCGATGTGTGTGCTTTCTCTCTCTCTCTCCAACCCTATTTGTGAAGTTGGATTTTTTTTAATTCTGCTTTGCTCAAAAGGAAATAATTTTTTAATTCAGATATGTTTTACTGATTTAACATTATCTTTTACAAGGTGAATGAGAAATGTGACTTTAATATTTTTCCCCTCGATTAAGCATGTTTATATCAAAC